GTGCTCAGGTCTCCCTACTCTAACAAAGACACTACTACTAAGAGGCCACAATTTTACAATATCATCTGAACCCAGTCACTCCTAATACCACCAGCATATGAATTTGGGGATTAGGTTTCTGATACCTGAACTTTGGGGGGATATCACCTAAGTGGTCTAACTGATGAAGGGTTGCTAGAGCATTAAGCCCGAGATAAGCAGAAACTGGACAGTTTGGGAAAAACCAAAACCTAGCAGAAGCTTAGGCAATATTGAGAGATTTAGACATTAGCATCTGTGTTAGGGAGCCAATGGTCAAATTTCTTGGCTTGCTAGGTGAAAAGCAGATGGAGGACGAAATGAAAGGTATAAAGTAGAATCAAAGCCTACGGTAGGAAATACACCTAAGTTCTCTGAGGGGCTGAGATGTGGCCTGGATGAAAGCAGTCGTTGCAAAGGGGAAGAGCCAAATATGAAGAACAAGGCATTTAGAGGCAGAATAATAATTGTTGTAATCATTGTCAACCACCAGCAGTGACATATTCTTGTGGATTCAATGCCTGCTGTGTGACCTTTATACAGAGAGAGCGGCAATCTTGCCTGCTGTTCCATTCCTGTTTCTATCTGAGACGGTGCACTTTCGCATTTTAAATGCAAACTGCAAGTAGCTGCTTGCCATCCTCCAAGGACTCTGGCTTGTAGTTGCTGGGGCATTCATCACCTGTCCTCAGCTTGACGCACCCAGGAGACCAGTAATTCCTGGTAAAGGTGTGTACAGTTGAGGTGAACTTTTCTGTGATGTGTTGAAGTCAGAGGCAATGGGGGGAAATGCTTCTAAAATTGGGCATGGTATTACCCAGACTTCAATTTCAATCCTAAATCCACAGTTTGCTTTAACTCTCAGTTCTAAGAAAAATTTCCTCATCTATCCAATAACGATCACAATCCCTAGCACCTTGATATGCTGTTTGGATTAAATGAGATTCTTGCTTAAATTCATGAATATATGGAGGAACTAAGAGTATCCTATGGGTCTAGCTATATAAAATCTATACTCTTGTTTTCCTTGTTATTTTTAATTTTTAATATCTATTTTTTTTTCATGATTACTAGTTTCTTTAAGAAACAGTAGAGTTTTGTTGCTGTTCCTTTTTTGTTCCAAGAATTATTTTATGGAGAGTTTTTAAAATTTATACACAGGTGTCCAGTGTGGTAGCCCAGTAACTAATGTCCTCTCCTTGCATGCACCAGGATCCCCTATGGGCACCAGCTCATATGTCGGCTGTTCCACTTCCCATGCAGCTCCCTGCCTGTGGCCTGGGAAAACAATAAAGGATGGTCCAAAGTCTTGGGATTCAGAATGGGAGATCCAGATAAAGCTCCTGGCTCCTGATTGGCTCAGCTCTATCCATTGCGTCTACTTGGACAGTGAATCAGTGAATGGAAGATCTTTCTCTGTGTCTCTCCTTCTCTCTATAAGTTTGGCTTTCCAGTAAAAATAAATAACTGAAATTTTTTTTAGATAGGACAGGGATAAGGTAGGTTGGATAGAAACAACTTAGGTTACCCACAGTCCATATCAGAGTGCTTAGGTTTGAGTTCTGACTCCACTTCTATTTTTATTTATTTTTATTTTTATTATTATTATTTATTGGAAAGGCAGATATACAGAGAGGAGAGACAGAGAGGAAGATCTTCCATCCGATGATTCACTCCCCAAGTGAGCGCAACAGCCGATACTATGCTGATCCGAAGCCAGGAACCTCTTCCAGGTCTCCCACGCAGGTGCAGGGTCCCAAAGCTTTGGGCCGTCCTTGACTGCTTTCCCAGGCCACAGGCAGGGAGCTGGAAGGGAAGCGAGGCTGCCAGGATTAGAACCGGCGCCCATATGGGATTCCGGGCGTGCAAGGCGAGGACCTTAACCACTTGCGCCACTGCGCCGGGCCCATCCACTTCTAATTTTAACCACCTGCTAACAGACACCTTGAGAAGCAGCAGATGATAGCTTAAATAATTAGGTCCCTGCCGACCATAGGAGATATGGATCGAGTTCCTGGATCTTGGTTCCTAACCTTGGCAAATCCCAAATCTGTGGACATTTGGAGAATGGACAGGTGATGGAAAATCAATAAAACAATCCATCACCTATCTCAAACTTGTAAACACAATGGAAATGAATAAATTACAAAAAGTAAATCTAACAGAGCTTTTATGTAATTTTCTTTTTTTACTGATTTTCAAATTTTATTGCACTTTTACCACCTTGTGGAACTTACAGCATTTTCTTTGTGGTTAAATATATATCCAATTTTACGAATGTTCTCAGTGTACTTGAAAATAAGGCAGATTCTCTACTGTCATACTATAAAGTCTGCAATATATCCAAAGCTGTCTTATTAATTACACCATTGGGCCTTCTGTATCCCTGCTTATCTTGTGGCCTATAATACTCTGGCTTGCACTGAGAGTGGTATATATTAAATTTTCTAATATGAGCATGTTTCTGACTCTTTCTTTCTGCTATCAAGGTTGCTGCTATGCCTCTGTTGATACACATTCATTATTATTACAAGTTCCTTGTAAACTCAAGTTTTCTGCATAAATCAGTACTTCCTTGTCTTATTTTGTACATTCAGCCTGTATTTCACCTTACCATGTATCAAGATCAAAATCAATGCTTTTAGTTGTTGATAGCTTGTATTTACTTTGTATTTTTTTATTTTTCCGCATTCTAAAATCACTTAGTGTTAAATGTATCTCCTGTCACTTTAGAACAAAGTTGGATTTTGTAGATTCCATATTTCTGACTCTACTCAGCATATACAAGAAGTACATAAACCATTTGCTTTTTTTTTCTTCTTCTTTTCTTCAACTATGGGCAAGCCTCCTTTAGGTTCAACATTTTATTGATAGAAGTCTGGGTTCCACTGGGACCTGAAGACCCCTCTTAAGCCATCTGGCTTAGCCAGATTTTCATTTTCAATTCTGCCCTGCTGGTTCTCTAGTGGACAGGTCTGCCCCTCTCCCACGTGGAAAACTGTACAGTTACTCATCATTGGAAGACTAGAAGACCATTGACACATACCTCTAAAATTCATTCTTCTTTACTGAGTGGATACACACACCAGAGTTTTCAGTCTTTGGATGAAAGTCTAATGTTTTTAAATGACTTAGGAGCTTGTAAACTCACTGATGGAAGAAACTCCAGAAATGATCTATTTAAACTCTCCCACGTATGAATCACTTTTAAATTCTTTGGTTCCTCAGTTTTCCTGGAAATGGTCCAGTCTCTAGGTTTTGAGGCTCAGTTAGACTTTACACAAGCTATCTGACTTTGGACATGTAGACAGAGAGCCTCAATTTTTCACCTGTAGAATGGTGACAAGGATGGAACCACTACTTGAATTCTGTATGTGTAAGGTAGTACTGACAGGTAGCGTTAATAACCTTGCCAAAGAGAAACCTCTGCGGGTAGATTGGATACCTGCCTGTAGCAATGTGGATAACATTATCAGTTACATAAGATCATCAACAAGGAATTAATCGATTCTTCCAACTTTCTAATAAAGCCAACATTTTTAATGTGTAATTTCCAAATTATTTAAAATGGCAACTAATTTTGACTTCTTCAAAACATTACACTGATCAATATAAAAGCACCCAGGAGCTGGTTTTCCTGTAGGTTACCACTTCGCAGTTTAGGTCTAAATCAGTTTAATGGCTGCTACAAGATACACTGTCAATTGTGAACTCACCATGTCTGAAACCTTCTATTTTGGATTCTTTGGGAGAAAGGATTTGATTGTGTTGGAAAGAGGCCAGCGAAAACTCACAGCATTCAAGACATCGACTGTAGTCCAGGAAAGCAGCCGAAATCATCAAGGGGGAGAGAACATACAGCAAGGTGGGAGTGGATATCTATGCCTCTTTCCCATCTGTATGCTGTCTCCTCTTTTGCTGAAACTTGCTAGTCCTCTTGTGCAACCAGCTGCTCTTTATGTACAAACAACTGACATACAAGGAGCAGGGAAACTGGATCAGTAAAATCATGCAGCTGGTTGGAGCCACTAGAACCCGAGCAGCTCCTTAGCGTAAGCTTACCGAGATGAGAACGAAAAAAACATTGAGCTGGACCCAAGAAGTGACTTTCTTTTTTACTTCCTTCCATTTGGCTTATTTGTATCAGCAACTTTGAACCTACTTAAATATTTCTATTTAATGAGTTGCAGCTGTCTTTCCATTTGCCAGAAATAATAACCAGTAGAGTAGGATCTATTTTTAATGCTTTAATAAGATGCACAGGTCACCAAAGATTCCCCATTTGCTAACTCAATTCTGCCTCTTTCTGTATACCTCTCATTTTCCTCCAACTTACTTTTGCTGTTTGTTGTTGTTGTTTGATGAGTTAAATTAACACTTTCAGAGAAGAGCGATCCCAAATATGTAATTTCTCTTAACTGGACTTCTAATATGTGCCATGCATCTTAGCTGATTGGTCTACCCTGTGGCATGCACATGAACAGATTTGGGAAATGGCTCTCCAGGCTTGGACTGAATGTATTCCTTTGCCTCTCTTGAACACAAAGAGAATTATAGTAGAAAATAGCTTTAGGACTTGAACTCCCTGAAAACACACTGGTGATCTATGAAGGTTAGAGAGGCGAAGTTGCTAAATGTTAAACACTGACTGTAACCACAATAGTTCCTATTCACAAAAGGTTTGCAGTGCTAGGCATTTCATGTACATTTTCCCATTTAATTCTTACAAAGATACTTCCGTCAATTAACCTCATGACAAAACTAAGCCCTAGTGTTCTAGAAAACTTGTGCAATTAATATTAGCAGACTGACTCTGGTCAAGCTCAGACACTCAAGATCTACTTCCAAGATGCTCCACCCGTTTCCAGGACCAAAATTAATCTTGGATATTACGAATGTTTTCAGAATCTGAATAGAGGCTCTCTTTTCACTTCAAGGCCAAGTTGCTGCTGAGATACTAAGAATTTTTTGGTTCTCCTTACCTGTTCTCAGGGTCAGCCAAGGCCATACTCCGTGTGACATAGCACATTTTGAGGGGGATGCTTTTCCGGTCTCTATGGAAGGAGAAGGGCTGTGACGACAGAGGGTCTGAGGAGCTGCCCCCTAACCGAGGGGATTCCGGCGGTGGCGTTTCCCATCCTATCTCTGACACGGGCGATCCTTTCTTCACGTAAGGAGTGGCTTCCCGCATGTACTTCACTGCAAGAGAAACACAACGACTACTTTCCAGTACCTCCAGGCGGGACTTCTGAAACCTCTCACTGTGCTTTTAAAAGGGCCTTCCTCTGCATGAGGTCTTCATACTGAACCTCTGTAAGTCTGAAGAAGATTCAGATGGTCTGTCCCTCTCCACATAATTATCCTATTATTTAAATGATGTACAAATACGGGTCCTAGAGCTTGCTATTATAATGCTCTACAGTGGAGATTCGCTTCTGGGTTTGTACAGTGGGGACAGCTTTTGTGTTTCTCATGTAGACACTCTCATGCTGCTAAAAACGGGGTAGAAACAAGTACACAGAGAGAGGAAGCACAACTTTCTAAACAACACCTGACTCTGTAAAAGGCAGAATGCTGGCAGGTACACTCACCCTCAAGAACACTGCTTTTCTTTTGGGAAGCAAGGATAACGTTTTCAATTTAATGGTGCTACAAAAAAAATATATATATACAAAAAAATACAAATAAAGCACATGTCTATAGTGGCATAAATCCATAATAGTAAAAGCACCGCCTTTGAGAGCTGAAAATAAGACAGGTTACATAAGTTGTAAAACATACATTTTTAAAATGAGGTAAACTGATGTGTTGAAGTAAAAAGGAAAACAAAGTTGAAGATTTGTAGAAAAACCAAGTAACCTACAGCAACCTACAGCTTATCTTTGTGTGGAAAATAATAAGCATACTAGCACAAATACAATTAGTACGACTAGGAGTGACATACAGGAAGACATCAACAATAGGTAGCTTTGGGAAGTGGAAATGCAAGTGAAGATGATGAGGAAGAAGATTTTGACTATTCATTAACCTTTTATAGCATTTTAATATTTAGCTATATGCATATGTTTATGAGATCTTAAAGACAAGTGGGACAAACTACCATTCTGCTCTTTAACATGTTTGCCTCAGTATTATTTAGTGGGTTAAGCCCCTATCTGTAGTACCAGCATCCTCTAAGGTGATGATTCATGTTCTAACTGCTCCACTTCTGACCCAGCTCCCTGCTTATGGCTTGGGAAAGCAGCAGTGGATGGCTCAAATATCTGGACCCCTGCACCCATATGGGAGACCCAAAAGAAGCTCCTGATTTCTGGCTTTGGATTAGCTCAGTTCTGGCCATTGAGGCCATTTGAGAGTGAACCGGTAGAAGATCTTTCACTCAGTCCATCTTTCTGTAAATCTGCCTTTCAAATCTGGTCTTGGTGCCCCACTTATGTTCCTTTTATCAATTTCCAGCTACTGTGGATTGATTGAGAACAATTCAGAGCTGCTCTCTTCTTTGGGAAACTGCTCTTGGTCCAAAAGAAGCTACCAGGTCTGAGAGGCTACAGAGGTGCCAACCCAAGACACAAGTTCAATTTTTTGGGAATACAGGCAAGCCAAAGCAGACAATAAAGGAGGTTTTTTTTTTCCAATTTTATAACTAGAAAATTTAAAATTTTATAACTAGAATTAAAAATCAAACAAACTTGTGAGAATCTGTGTGAATAATAATGAATCCAGGAACATGGAAGATGGTCAAGTTCACAATATCCAAATATATGCAATATGGACATGTGCTCCTACTGGGGTGCTCTTACTCCATCACAGTTATAAAAAACACAACAATTGGGTCTGGGATGACGGTTCAGTGACTAAATTCTTGCTTTGCACATTCTGGGACCTCATATGGGTGCCACTTCCCATCTAGCTCTCTGCTTGTTGCCTGAAAACACAGCACAGGATGGCCCAAAGGCTTGGACTTGATACCCACATGGGAAATCCAGAGGAAGCTCCTTTTGAAGTTTTTTTTTTCCCTCTAAAACCATTTAGTAGAAGATAGAACACTGCATAGCTCTGTACACTGTAGAATTATACTCCTTAATATACTTGAAAATCAAGTATCAGCTATGATGTGTTTAAGATTTTCTTCTGACTTCATTATTGTCCCCTTGTTGAAGTTGTGGATTAATGGTTCAAGAAGGAGGGGATCCTTCATGGACAAGGTGGCATTGCAACCTGTCCTAAAGGGCAGCATGGATTTTAAGAATTAGAAAGAAGAACAGCAATCTTTCCTTTATATAATACACTCTGATGCACAATATTTGCAATTTCATGGGGAAGGAAACTTCGGCCTCAACTAGGAGTTATTATAGAGAAGGAGCATTTCTTACATACTTGATATGCTAGTTATTGAATGAGAGTTTATACGTCTACCCACATTCAAGCTTCACAATGAACATTTAGAGTCCTATGTTCCACAAAATGAAACTTAAAGTTTTTAGAAGATGTGGATAAGTTATAGTTTTTTAATTAGGTGTCTATGCGTAAACAGTAATACAAGAATAAATTGCCATTCTTTCCAAGCTCTTAAAAGGAAATGCTTCTTAAGATCAGTCCCTTTCTTGTGAATATTGGCGACTTTATGTAGATCATGCTTTGCAATTTACTATTACACACATCAGGGCACAGCTAACAGATTTGGGTCTTATTTTATCGGCAGTAATGACATTCAAAATGGTCTATATGGCAGAATCAAAGATCAGCTTTAGTGAGAACTAGAAAGTGAGATTGGGACAAGATATTAGAATACGGACACATGTTCTTAAGATCCTTGGGGATGACTGGTAGAGATACACAAGACTTATTTTAAACATACATGTTAGGTGTGAACAATTCCAGGAATCCTCTTCTTCAAGCACAGAAGCATGAAAAATGTAGCAAATGGGAATCTGGAGTATCCACCAAATAAGCACTCCCTACGTGGCACAGCAGTAGAGGAGTTTACAAAGAAAAAATCTGAACACACCGCAATGCCTTGAAAAAAGCACACCTCATGGTGAATAAGACTGTACAAAGCAGGGTTTATCCACTGAAATTAAAAGCATAGAAGTTTTCATGTAAAATGGAAGAATTAATTCATTCGTTCAATCAGCCAAAAATGGCCAGTCAAAAGTTTGAGGATTATGAGAAGTGATTAAAAACAGTCCTTGATTAAAAGAAGTTTCATTTACAAAAGAAGAGAAGTAAGGAGATGGCGTGGCTGCTTGTGTGAAATCTTTTTTTTTTTTTTTTTTTTTTTTTTATTGTTCCTTACATTGTATTATGTAGTACAGTTTTATAGGCGCTGGTTTAAGGAGGTGGCCAACTCAGAAAGTCTCTGAGAATTTTTGAAGAATGAAATGCAAACCTTTTCTAGGAACTTCATTCTAGGCTTTTAGAAATCTCTAGGAACCCTTTTCAAGCAGAATAAACAAGCAGTAAATCAAGAAAATGTCACATCCAAAGATTAAGGTGTCATGAACAAGAACTGATAGCAATAAGGACCACACCTATCGCAGAGCGACTAGTAAGCTTCCAGAAACTGATGGAACCTGGCAAAAAGACAGAATGTTTACTTTTATTAGTAGCAGCAAATCCAGTTAGGTCAGAAAAGCAATTACTGAATGACAGATAAAAATAAAGGATATTTTTGTAAGACAATGATACATAAAGACAGAACATATGAAACAGCAAGAAACGTGAAAAATGAAGTGCAAAGGACTAGTATAGATTTAACTGGAGCCCCAAAAGAGCAGAGGATGGCAGAGCTTAACAATTCTCCTGATACCACCACAACACACACACTCAAGAAACCTGTTTTACTGAACAATGCCCGTGAACTTTACTATTAGGACAAAAGTAATGTGCTCTGTTTTCTCCACGGAGTGGGCTTAAAGGCTTTGCTTTTCTCAGAAACGGCATCGTCTGAAAGCTTCAGATGTCACCTCTGTCTTCTGCAAGTGTTGCGAGAAACTCTTAGCAAATCACGGAATGAGTCTCAAAATCTCTGGCACTACCAGAAAATATGTGTCCGAATTAAAGCAGATACAAGAGGTCACAGGTTATCATCGTTGTCCTCAGGGAGAGTACACAACACAGCTCTACTTAGAGCCCCCATGTTCCGCATGCTTGCTTATTTTTGGTAAGGGACAAAAACGCAGAAATTTGCCTTTTTTACATAGCAAAGAAATCACAGCAAAATTCTTATTGTCTTTTTCCAAAACTCTCATGATTTCTGGGCCAGAGGAAGTAAAAAAAAAATTGTCAAAATATCCCTTTTTGCTGGAAAGGATTCTAAGTAACTTGCACAGGGTTTGGCCATCAGCCACAGGCTTAATTCTAGGGTCAAGCAGTCGAGGTCTGGGGCTGGGTATCCTGATGGAGAGGGCTGTGTAGCCATGTTTGTGGGTAGGGAAGCAGTGCTGTTCATAAGAAGGACAGAGTATGTCAAACACTGTCATGGTTCTCTTTGCCCTAGGATCCTGAGATCTGTGCACACGATTATCAACACAATGAGACTATCATCTAATTCCTGGAGGCAAAACTGGTCTAAGACTCGATTTGACTGCAATAGGAACCCAAAATTCATGTACTGAAGAATACACAGGTTGGCTACACATTTGGCAAAAGTCTAGAGTGAACTAAATGGGTGGCTGGGGATGCTCTGCTCCTTGAAGCTGGCAAGGAATCATAGTTTTACTCCCCTTCTACTGTTTCCCTAGCATGCCATCTAATGAATCAAAAATGGTTCTTGCCCTCCAAACATCTAGACCACGTTCGTACGGTCTAGCGTTGTGGCTCAGCGGAGTGAGCTGCCCTTTGGGATGTGCACCTTCCCTATCAGAGTGCCAACCCGAGTCCCAGTTACTGCGTATCTAATCCAGCTTCCTGTTAACGCGCTTGGGAAGGCAACGGAAGATGGACCTGAGCCTGCGAAATTGCCATGAAGTTCCTGGATTCTGGTTTTGGCCTAGTCCAAATCAGGTTGTTATAGTCATTTGTGGATGGAAGATTTCTCTCGCTCTCACACTGCCCTTCTCAATCTGTCACTCTACATTTCAAACAAACAAACAAACAAACATATATATGTATGTATATACATTATAACAAAAAGACCAAATTCCCATTATGAGAGAGGAGGAAGAAGCAAAGAGCATAACACCTTTCCTCCATGAAGA